CATAACATGTTTAGATTTGGCACTTTCATCTATAAGTTTTAAATTACATCCATTCACACTTTGAAAAAACAATTCAGATGGGGGTCCATCTTTAAGAAATATAGATGACATTAATGAATATTGTTCTCACTTTTACCATCAACAGAAAGTTCGGCAATATATATTCACTAAAAGAAAATTGCATATTATTCTATTGAATAATGACATAGACAGAAAATAACTTGACTTTCACTTAAAATCGCAAAATTATTGATAAGTGTTGTGTACATTTAACGAATAATACAATTGCAAACGTATATTTTTCTATCTAAATAAATCTGACACTTCACGATAATGTCAAAACTGACAGTCAACGACATATACATCCATATATGGAGCAACTCTATGAGCAATTACATTGATGATCTAGATTTAAAAAATGCATTTACTGCACATAATCGAATGGATATCCATAATATCTGGAATTCTATTTCATTTAATTTAATTATTTTTAATAAAAAGAATCGAATTCTACATCGACGATCAAAATACATATGTATGCAGCTGTTCACCTGGCTTCAACAACTTGATAGATGCCTGACAAAATGATAGCTATGTGGCTATGTTTTGTATCATTTTTATTGATGGAATTTGGTTTTAGGTTTTTAATTTTCTTTAATAAAAATTTCAAAATTTTACAATCTTATCTACATTAATCTGAATCGAATTTTCGACAGACTACTGTCAAACATTAATTTTTAACCAATTTCTTTTTTCACGATTTTAGAACATTCGTTCTCTTCACGCCTCTAGAACATTCGACTTCATTGCTTCCGGCTCCAAGTTGCCATCTATCGCACACTGATACAATCATTCTTATGTTATCACATGTCGATCAGTGAATTATGTATAATATTATGTATATGTAATCCTTATCACAGGCGGGCCATCAAAATTTGATGATCAAATATCGTGTATTATATATATATACATAGAAGTATTATGTATATGAACTTCACCAGAAAATTATTCATTTTTAGCGATATCGGTATTTCAGATTGTGTGACACGAAACTCCATATGGCGATTAGTCTAATCTATACACAATAATTTCTCTCACATAGTCCCTCAGCTTGAGAACGAAAATGGACTACTTGGGAAGAGGAGATATGATTATATGTAGATTATTAAATAATAATAATAATAATAATCGCGTATCGTAATAAATAATAATCGTATCTTCTCTTTCCAAGTTATCCATTTTTATTTACAAACTGAGGGACAATATGAGAGAAATGACTGTATCTTGCACGTACATATTTCGAAAACATAAATATTTTAATCACTTGTAATAAATGAAAATTGTAACGCATTAAATTGACTTTGTTTTTATGCTTATAGCTATATTTTTTAAATATGTAAATAAGTAAATACATAAGTAAATATGTAACAATGTGAAATGAAATGGAAGGTAGAAATTATAACGCATTTAAAAAAAATATTTGAGTAATTCGATTAACATCTATTATGTATGTATACATATACATATGTGTTTACATAGGATTTTTTGTAAAAATGACGTAACTTAGAGCATATATATATAGGATGTCCCAAAATTATAGCATTTCCGGGAAATGAGGAGTTGCTGAGTTCATTTGAAATAACTTTTTCCTTAGCGAAAATGCAATCCGCGGCGTCGTTTACGAGTTATTAATAAAAAAACAGTGACCAAAGAAAGGCGAGATCGGCTGGTGCAAAGCGGCCGAGCCAATGAGCAGATCTAGGCTCCGTCCGCTCATCTTCTCTTTGTATAATAGAATCTACTGTTCACTTCTACTGTTGATCTCGTTGATCTTGTCGATCTACCCTAATAATCCTGCTGCTTAATAATTCGCGTGTGACAAGATTCGTATAATTTCCTGGCGAAATGTCGGATTCAGAGACGAGTAATATTTCGGATAATGAGAGCGAACGTGGAGGCGGTGGCAGCGAAAGTGAACAGGATGAAAATCGTTCTGTGAAGTCTGCAGCTGGGAGCGATGCTGGCAGCGTCGGAGAAAGGTCACGCAGCGTTTCCCGGAGTAGAAGTCCGTCTAGATCGCGTTCAAAAAGTCCGAGCAGGTCTCGATCACGATCTCGATCGTTGTCTGGGTGAGCAAAATTTCTATCTTGTGCATTGTGCAAATTAATTAACTTTACTTCGTAACGACTCATGCATGTTTATTGAAACTAAAATAGATCAACTTTTATTACATTAGTTCATACTCCGAAATATGTTCCAAAAAAAAGAACATTGTATATTATGATGCAGCATTTACTATCATCAAAAGATCATGTAAAGCTTCTGTAAAAATTATAAATAAAGCAAGAGAATTATCAGCATTACTTTAAATTTGCAATGTAGTATGATGCATACATGTTTCAGAAACATGTCTGCTAAAAGTATTTTAAAATTAAATTTTTAGTTCAGAGGATGGCAGAGGAGACGAAGCAGAAGAAGCTAGGTCTGGAGATGAAGAAGTGGTGGAACCAGAAGAAGAACCGGAAGGTATAAAGAATATTTTTTAGAGTATTGGAATATGTTTATTCTATGATTCATATATACATATATATTCAGGGGAAGATTTGGATGGAAGCAGTGAATATGATGAAGAGGAGGAGGAAGAAGATGACGACAGACCTAGAAAGAAAAAGAAAAAAGATAAGTACGGTGGTTTCATCATAGATGAGGCTGAAGTAGATGATGAAGTTGAGGATGACGATGAATGGGAAGAGGGTGCACAAGAAATTGGTATTGTGGGAAATGAAGTAGATGAGTTGGGTCCTACTGCTAGGGAAATTGAAGGAAGACGCAGAGGAACTAATTTGTGGGAGTAAGTATTAACATCTACAAGTATATTGTAACATAACTCTTGACTAAATTAATATTTACAATTTTTGACAGTTCTCAGAAAGAAGATGAAATAGAAGAATACTTGAGGAAGAAGTATGCAGACGAGTCTGTGGCAGCTCGTCATTTCGGAGATGGTGGTGAAGAGATGAGTGATGAAATCACTCAGCAGACTTTACTACCAGGTGTAAAAGATCCTAATTTATGGATGGTAAAATGTCGCATTGGAGAAGAGAAGGCAACTGTGCTTCTACTTATGCGGAAGTTCATAACGTATCAAATGTCAAGTATGTAGTAATTCATTATTACTGCATTTTTTTATTAATAATTACAGTTATTTCTAACCACATCATTTTATTCATTAGATGAACCACTTCAGATTAAATCTGTTGTCGCGCCTGAGGGTGTAAAGGGTTATATTTACATAGAGGCTTACAAACAGCCGCATGTAAAAGCCGCTATCGAGAATGTGGGAAATTTAAGAATGGGTATCTGGAAACAACAAATGGTACCGATTAAGGAAATGACTGATGTGTTACGCGTGGTCAAAGAACAGACAGGCTTGAAAGCAAAGCAGTGGGTTAGATTGAAGAGGGGCATTTACAAAGA